AAAAAAAAAAGGAATTTTGATTTTCTAAATATTCCTGCCGGTTTCAAGGAGAAGAGTTTAGGGAGTTTGGTGTAACTTACTGTTCCATTCCTCTGCAGGTATGTGCAATCCTCGCAATTACAGTGACACACCTCCAACATCCAAGAGCACTGTTGAGGAGTTGCATGAACCGATTCCTTCACTTTTCCGGGCCCTGACAGAAGGGGATACTCAGCTGAACTGGAATATCGTTTCCTTCCCTGTGGCAGAAGAACTGTCGCACCATGAGAACCTCGTTTCCTTTTTAGAAACAGTGAACCAACCACAGCATCAGAACGTATCTGTCCCAAGCAACAATGTCCACACACCTTACTCTAGTGACAAAGGTAATGAGCGTAGCGTCTAAATTCCTAGCGCTTCCTCTCGTCTCTTCTAGAAGCCTTCTCAGTGCATATTCTGTGCTTGTCTGTGCTCACTTCTTCTTTTCCCGTAAAAAAGTGTGAAAAGTTCAGTTTCATTTTGAGCATGACATAACAAAAGGAGTGAGGCAAAAGTATTGAGGACCATGGAAAATGGTGTTAAAATGTCTGTTGATCTTAGGAGATGCTGAACCACATGAGTTTGTTATCTCTATTATTCCTCCTGTGGCATGAGGCAGTTTGTTCACGTAATTTCATGTGCACTGGCACGGTATGTTCTTTGACTTTGAAGCAGTTACCTGTAGCTTAGGAGACAGGACAGATCAGTAACTGAATCCACCTCATGTGTCAGTGCAGATTTAGGCAACTGGAACACGTGGCTTCAGAAGTTTGAGAAAGCCACATGCCATAAACCATTGTATCTGCAGTAGATGTGTATTTCTTTCATCTGAGCTGGCATAATTTAAACTCTTTAGAAGGACGGTTTGTAGGAGATCCAGGATTAATAGTAAACCTGAGCAAGTTTAGCAAGATAGCTCTTTATGTAGAGGAGGGATATGTGACAGACAGCCTTAAAAATAAGCACTTTAGGGGTGGGGGTTCAACGTATGGACTCATTCCTCTTTTTTTTTTTT